ATATAGATATATTCTTATAATATTGGTGCTTTTATTCCTGTAAGGTAGATTCCCAGGAGTGGCACTGTTCGATCAAAGGGCACACCTATTTTTATTTTACAATATTACCAGTTCGCTTTCCACCAGCAGTGTATAAGAAAAGCCTTTTCCCACAGTATGAAGGTTACCCTACAACCCAGCAATTGCACTAATGGGTATTTACCCAAAGATACAGATGTAGTGAAAAGAAGGGGCACATGTACCCCAATGTTTACAGCACCAATGTCCACAATAGCCAAACTGCGGAAGAAGCCAAGCTGTCCTTCAAAAGATGAATGGATAAAGAAGATGTGGTTCATATATACAATGGAATATTGCTCAGCCATCAGAAAAGATGAATACCCACCATTTATGTCAATATGGATGGAACTGGAGGGTATTATGCTAAGTGAAATAAGTCAATCAGAAAAAGACAACTATCATATGGTTTCACTCATATGTAGAATATAAGAAATAGTGCATAGGATCATAAGGCGAAGGAAGGAAAACTGAATGGGAAGAAATAGGAGAGGGAGATGAACCACGAGAGACTCTTAACTCCGGGAAACAAACTGAGGGTTGTGGAAAGGGAGGTGGGTGGAGGAATGGGATAACCAGGTGATGGGTATTAAGGAGGGCACATGATGTGATGAACACTGGGTGTTATACACAACTAATGAATCACTGAACACATCAAAAACGAATGATGTACTATATGTTGGCTAACTGAATTTAAATTAAAAAAAAAAAAGAAAAGCCTTTTTTCCCTACAGTCCAGTTACTGAGAGATATAACTGTTTATTTTACATTTTTGCTAAGTACAGTGCTAAGTCACTGTTATTTTAAGTTGCATTTCCCTGACTACTGTTTTAAGCACTTTTTCCCTTTTTGAGTCAAGAAATATTAATGAGTACCTACAGTGTGCCAGGTTTTATGCTAGGCAATGGGAATACAGAGATGAATAAAAGTCAGGTCCTTTTCCTCCAGGCTAGTCATAGAGGGAGATATTAAAGAAATACATGAGCATATAATTACAAATTATGATTAAGTGCTATGAAAGAAAGCACAGGGTGTTATGAGAGGGAATAAAAGAAGGAAACTGTTAGGGACTGGGTGAACAGGAAAGGCTTCTTTGAAGAAATGACATTTAAGCTGTGGACTCTGAAGAAAAGATACTTAAGTATCTTTCCTTATGAGTTACAGTAGTCATCTGGATTTGCTCTTCTGTGAATTGTCAATTTTTTAGATATTGCTCATTTTTCTAAAATGCTGTCTTTTTTCTTAATGTATATGTGCTATTTGATATTACGGGTAATAAAAAAATTTTCCCCCAATCGATTGTTTATCTATAGACTTTATAGTAACTTTGGTATACAGAAGTGTTTAATTTTTATACAGTTAAAAAGGTCTGTCTCTTACAGGTTTATTATTTCTTGTCTCTATAGGATGGCTTAGCCTCCCTTTAGGTTATAATTGTAATCTAGGTTTCCTTCTAATTTTTTTTATTGTTTTAAGAAATCCTCAGAATTTTTAAAAAAAATAAAGGCCCAACTCTATTTGTTTCCAGATGGCCATCCGGTTTTCCTGGCATCAATTATAAAACAATTCAATCTTTTTTTCAAGATTTTATTTATTTGACAGAGAGACAGTGAGAGAGGGAACACAAGCAGGGGGAGTGGGAGAGGGAGAAGCTGGCTTCCTGCTGAGCAGGGAGCCTGATGAGGGGCTCAATCCCAGGACCCTGGGATCATGATCTGAGCCGAAGGCAGACGCTTAACGACTGAGCCACCCAGGTGCCCCTAAAACAATTCAATCTTGATGAACTAAAATGTTACTTAATATATTTCAGCTTCCTCTTAGAGGCAGTATGTCCCCTAGTTTTCAAGGGGCAGGCCCTGGAGCCAGCCACACTGTTTATATTCAAACCCCAGCCCCACTATTTATAGCTGTCTGATCTTGGGCAAATCACTTAACGTCTGAAACTTAAAAATGTCCAAATCAGAATTCTTATAATAAGATGGCCATTAGATGTGGCACAGAGCTACTGAATAAGCAGTAGGACATAGGATTCTGGACTTGGGTATTTAGAGCCATGTGACCAGATGTGTGTATGCCTTCACAGCGTGCTCATGACATTCGGTTACAAACGTGGTGTGAGAAGCCAACCGTGTCAGTGCTGCCTACTAGGATATCAAGTAAAAAAGAGAAGTGATTACTGGGTTGACAAGGTGGGGGTATTTGTGACTCCGACAAGCTGTTTCAGTGAAATGGCAGGGAAGAAAGCCTAACTAGGTGTGTTAAATAGAGTGGAACAACAGAATAAACACAGTTCTCAATTCTCCCCACGTCAAACCTGTGGTACTAAAACAGTTATTTTAAAAATTTAGATTCTGGAGCTCATATCACCAAGACTCCATGTACTCTTCTATGTTTTTATATCTATATGAATACAATATAGGAAAGATACGTTTCTTTTTTCTTTTTTTTAAGATTTTATTTATTTGTCAGAGAGAAAAGAGAGCACAAGCAGGGGAAGCAGCAGAGGGAGAGGGAGAAGCAGGCTTCTCCCTCTGAGCAGGGAGCCCGATGCGGAACTCAATCCCATGACCCTGGGATCATGACCTGAGCTGAAGGCAGACGCTTGACTGACTGAGCCACCCAGGTATCCCAGGAAAGATATGTTTTTATAACTACAAAGCCCAAAACACAAAAATTTACTTTTGAACAAATTTGAGAACGTACAAAAAATGACATATCAGAATAGTAGAACTTGTGTGCCTCAGTTCTGTTGTAATATTAAATACAAAAATCTTAAAAGAATAAAGTACACTTTAAAATTAAATGACCACAATACAGGAAAGAATAACTATAACACAGGAAAGAATACAGGAAAAACAATATTCTTTTATCATTATGAAAAGCAGTAGGAGATAATAGTTGTTTACAAATCTAGCTATGCACCAGAATTCTTTGGGGGCTTGTTAAGAAATAGCTTCTTGGGCCTATTATAGGACACAATGAGTCCCAGACCTCACAGAATTCCGATGAAACCAGCCAAACACTTAGAAGAACAATGAAGTAGGTAAGACTCAAGAGTTTTGCCACTTGCTTATCTCTAAGCAGGAAGTAATGAGAAGCAGGAAAATCCGCTGGAGGAGACTCAACTAGATTCCCCATTGTATTCAAGAATGGCAGAGAGAAGGATAAATTCTAAGTTAACAAATACTTATTGAGGACCTGACATGACATGGCGCTATGGTAGGCCCTGGAGTAATCCTCCATGATCTCTGCCCTTATGGAGCTTATGATCCAGTTGAGAAATTACGACAATGAGCAAATAAATATGAATTGACAAATTAATTTACTGAGATGTTAATTTATGTTTTGTTCTGTTATTATGGGAAAGCAAGGTGTTTTTTTTCTTATCCTTTCCAAGGAATCTTACACAGTGAGAGATCCAGATCCTGAGAGGTTTTCTTTTGCAAATTCAAAAATAAAAGTTGTAAAACCTGAAAACCATCCAGGATTATATCTGAATGAGAGGAAAGCAATCAGTTTTATATTTGCCAAGAGATATTAAAATCACTCAAAGACTCTATCAGCATTACTAATAGTAATGCAAATGATTCTTGTCCATAGAAATGAAAATTATGGAAGTGGCAATGCAGTTGATTGATGACCTACATATATGTATGTTTTTTTAATTCTCCTTGAACTGGCTGTAACATATTATTGATTGTCATTTATTAATGAGTGAAATAAAATCTTTGTCCCATGTTTGTTTTATATTTGTATGAGTCATGTTTTTATCTTTAAAAAAATTATTCTTAAACATGTTATATCTTCTTGTCTAAGTCCTTTTTAGTTCAAAGATGCCTCTATATTTTTTTAAGAGAAAAATTCCACATTAATAATTATATTCTAACATATACTTTATTAATGTGCAGTTTGTAGCAAAGCTAAATTATTGCATTTAAGTCGATTCTTTTTTTGTCAGTTTGTTAAGCACATAACTGTTAAAATGTTTACCTTTGGTGCACCATCCTTTTGTATCCCTACATCGTTAGTGGCAATTCCTTTTACACTGCTATCTTCGTGAAAAAGTACCTAAAATGAAAACATATTTGGTTATCACCTTAGAGGATTCATAACCAACCTGAAAAAAAGCAATAGATATTTAAGAAAGTGAACATGTTCTCTAGATTACAGAAATAACAGGCTTTAACATGTTTAGGCAAAAAAAGAGACATGTTTTAAAGATACTCCCTTCTAGAGTATAAAAGAACACAGCTAAAACAGTTGGAAATGAAAGAAATGCCACAACCTTGATGAAGAAGAAAAGGGGGAAGCTACTACAGAGGTCACTTAAGAAACCAGTGAGAATAAACAAAGAGCTCTGAAGAGATCAGGTATCAAAAACAAGTATACAGACCCTGAAATCAGGGCCTCTAACAAATGAAGACCATCAGTGTTGGGTGGGAAGACAACAGTGTCAGGAAAGCCTCTGTTCCAAATGAGCTAAGATCCCAAAAAAACAAAAACCAAAGAAAATGAAACAACAAAACAAAACACAAAGAGGTTCAAGACAGTCCGAAAGTGATTAAAGTTTATTTCCGGAGCAAGCAGTATTGGCAAAAACTCGTCAAAATTGTAATTCTGAGGATGAGAAATAGCAATATTCTATAATTCTTACTTAGTTTGTTTCCTCTCCGGAGGAAAATGCCCTTTAGATAGGAAGTACAAAATATACATTACACACACAGAAGGCACAGGAGTGGAAAGGTAAAGCAAGCATTAGCAGCAATGGATATGAAAAGAAAAACATAAACCTTTTATTTCATACCCTGAAAATGAATCAACAGTATAACGTGGCTTTGAACTAAAACTGAAGTCTGGCTCAGAGATTAAAAAACCTGACAAACCTGACATTAATCTATTGATGATGATCTTTAAGGGACTGAGGAAAAGAGGAGAGTTATGACACTGTGTGTGTATGGTGTGTGTGTGTGTGTATAAAAACTGAAAATCATAGATTCTATAAATCACCTACTTGTGATTTTGATATTAATCCCAGTCAAGAACATTTTAACCAGGAGAAATAAAAAACCCACACTTGGGTCCAAAAACCCAAATGTATGTATGTATGTATGTACCTGTATACACACACACACACACACATATGCGTGTGTGTGTGTGTGAGTTGGGAAAACAAAATTTAGTATAGCAGCAAGTATAATACAGGGACCCATGTGTTTTATTTGACTTACATATTGTAAGCGTAAAAACAAATAAAAAAATTTTTTGAATTTTCCCTGAGGCCAAAACCAAAAAACCTCCCCCTCCTGTCAATTCTTCCAATCATTTCCTTTAGAAAAGTTAATTGTAGACCCTTTCTTTGTCTCTCTGAGATATAGGAATGTTTTCAAAAGTTTTATTTAAGACTCTTGCCAGATCTGCATCTCAGAAATGTGTTTCCGGGGGCCTCAGAGACATATTTGAAATGTGAACACCAAAAAGAATGGTGTCCTGTTTTCCTGTCACCATAGGAGTCTGGGCTAGGTGCTTGGCTCCAAGTTGTGACTTCCTGCTTGTCAAAAAATTACAAGAAATTTTATTTTTTCTCTGGATAAAGACAATTAACTTGTATGTAATGGATTCTATCTGTGTGGCTATGTAAGAGGGTGAGATTTCTTTGTCTTGGCAATCTCCCTAGCAGAGTGCCTGTGACATGCACTGCAGTCCTGGTTTAATGCTTACTAAATAATAAAACTTTTAAATAATTTATAGAGGTGATTTTTTGCGTTGGCAGGATATTTTATTTTTAGTCATTCCCCCACTAATACTTAATGAGAGTTAACTCTATGATATGTGTGCCAAAAGAGTTATTTGGAGAGAATTAACAGAAGAACAGTTTCTAGAGTGAAGAAAGCAAGAGCCCTGCTCTACACTAGACTTGAAGTAGTTTTTTCATTCTGGATGCCACTTTATAAAGGGGATAAAAAGGCAATGCATTCAGAGTGCACTGAGAATACTGAAGGAACTCAAACTAATGTAACATCATGGTTGAAAGAACTGATAATATTTAACCTAGGAAAGAAAACGACACCAGAGTGAAAGTGGGGAAGAAGAGAGTGGGGCATAATTATAATTGGAAAACTGTCCTTGGAAGAGGGCATTGATTTGTTCTACGTAGTGTAAAACAGAAGATATATTTCCATTCAACAGAAGAAAGAGAATATTATCAACAATCCAAACGTCAGATAGAGATGATCTCATCCCCGATGGTGTTCAGTCATAAATTAGACAATCACATGATACATATACATACAAGATCAGGAATTCAAGTACTCTTTGGATTAGATCTTTCCAAGATTCCTTCTAATCTTACAATTCTAAAATCCTATGGCTTTTCTAAAATATTTATTTACCTCTGTACCATTCTGGGTTTATATTCAAAAGAAAAAGAGATTATTTCCCATAAATATTAAAAACAAAATACAACTATACAAACCTCAGCAGCAGCATAACCAGGGTATACTTCAACACCAAGGGCTTCTGCTTGTTCTCCCATCCAGCTCACTAAATGTCCCAAGCGTACAATGTAATTGCCATGATTATTCATTGGAAGACCTACAAATACATGCTTAATTTATCAATCTGACATTTTATCGGTAAAACATCTCAAAAACATAAATACTTAATTTAAAAATTCTAAGCAATGTGTAATTTCTGTGTAAATATACACATCATCCTATGGTCATAATTTCACTTATATTCTACAACTTTGGCATAGAGTTCTAATTATTAAAATAAAAAACCATTACAACACTACATTAAAATTCTGGGTTGCCTTACAAGGCTATCCCAATTCTTCTAGACTGGAAGATGAACTAGGTTCTAGTCCTGTTTTACTACAAGCTAGCTATATAACTTTGGGTCAGTCCTTCAAATCTCTGAGCATCAGTTTTCTCATCTGTAGAAAGAAAAGATTTCACCAGATGAAATGTGGTTTCCTCCAGGTACGGAATTCTATGATTCTACAAATATTTATCATACCTTACCTGGAAGAATTGGCACAGGAATTCTGTATTTCTTTGTTAAAATTCCAAATCTGTCTTCTGTTACAGGAGTGTTAAGTGGAGCCTAAAAACAAAAGAAGGAAAGAGAAGGAAGTTTTTAGTTCATATTCATAATGGTAAATACAAATAATAAAAAAAAGTGTCAAAAGGGAAAGTGAACTACTCTCCTCACTTTCATCATTTCCTTTAGAAAACTTGGAACTGTAAATCCTCTTTGTCTCTTTGAGATGTATGGGAATCTTTTTAGAATCTAAATAAGCCAGTTTTATATGCCAGAAATCTTTCTTGGGGGCCTTGGAGACATCTTGGATAGGGCTTCCTGTCTCCCTGTCTCTGTGGGAGTTTAGCCTAGGTGCTTGCTCCAAGTTGTAACTTCCTGCTTGATGAAAACATAAGAGAAGTTTTATTTTTCCTTTGGATACAGACAATTAACAGGTATATCATGGATTGTATCTGCTCAGTTATATAGGGCTCTGAAAACCTTTTTCTATTACAACTGCTATGTCAATAATAATTCAATAGTATCTATTTTTGGTATAATACTGAAAAGAGAAAGTTAATTAGATATAACTAAAGTATTTCTAGTTTAAAGGATCTTGGTATTTTAGAAAGAAGAACATAGATGAAATTTTTGGAATTCAATTTACTCCATAAATAATAAAGAAATCATGTAATTTTTTACCTTTACATAGTATATTCACAGGTAGTGAATATTCTAACCTTGGCAGGCATAACATAACCCATCTTATAGAAGAAAAAGCTAAGATATGTAACATGTAAAATTTTAACCAAAGCCATACAAATTATGAAAGGAGTAAAATTAACATTCAGTTCTCTGTATATCATACTAGTGCCTTTTCTTCTTAGGTTATGAGAGGCCATATTAATTTATTCTTTAGAACATTTGATTAGATTATCCTCTTTGGTTTTAGATATTACAATGTCCCAGGAAATTTACATAAAACTTTATTAAGAACAATGATATAAACACCTATGGAACAAGTTAGGAAATACTCTCAAAATCAAAATGCTGTATTTTATTTGGTACAAATATTCTAGTATCTTCTCAAGGTAAGACCTTCTCGTATATCCAGTACATAAATACAACATGTAGAAGACATTATACGAGTGTATGAGTTAATATCTTAAAATTATAAGTATAGTTGATATGATTCAATTTTTTGGCTCTTTTTAAGTTAAGAAATACATATCTATAATAATCCTTTAAGAGACAGAATTACATAAAAAGGGTTTTCCATATTCTAGTAGTTTGGAACTAGAGATACGATAAAGATCACATTTTGTATAAGAACCAATTTTTCATACTCCCTTTTCCTTCCAGTCTGGGAATAATTCTTCAAAAGCACGTGGATCAAGGCAAGCCCCTGAGAGAGTATGAGCTCCTATTTGAGCGGCTTTCTCTACTAGACACACACGGATGTCCTTTTCATGTTTAGTAGCCAATTGCTTTAGACGAACAGCTGCAGAGAGTCCTGCAGGGCCTGCGCCAACTATAACTACATCTGCTTCTTCTGCAAACCTCTCCATGTTCACTCCTGGGAGAAAAAAATGATTTAAAAAACACATGAAAATTCTGGGATGACTATGATCTGTTAAAAATCACAAACTGGGTTACAAACACTCACTATGCTTTAGAGCATTTATAGAAATTGCCCCTCTGCTTTGTATGAGAATTATACTAAATATATTATTGTATTAATTGGATGTTCTCTTAGGTTCTGTTCCAGTATATATCTTATTTTTGCTTCCATAAACCAACTTTTGGCTTTGAGATTTACTACTACAAACTACGCAGATATTTTCTTATCTCAATATCAATATGTAATAGATTTGGTAAAGCTATGAAATATTATTAGATGATTTTATACTATCATGACAAATATTTCCACAAAATGATACAAAGTATCTAGAAAAGCCTTAACACTTCTACAGAAATTATTACTTGCCTTCCCATCGCTTGTCCTTATCCCGGGGATAAATAGTATAGTGGGTAGTAATTCGAGGTACAACAGAAGTTGAAGACCATCTTGTATGACACAGAGGTAGATAATTTTTCTTAATTTTTAAGGCATGAAAGCACTGATATGCTGCACAAAAATTATAAACATTAGTATTATTTTTTCAATCAGCTTTCCTCAGAGTAGACTAAAAAACCATTTTTTTAAAAGGAAAAAATCTAGGATTGGGAATCAGATCTGGTTTCTGTTTAATTTTCTATTAATTAGCCCTAAGACCTTAAATCATTACCTTCTCTAGATTTCAGTTTCCTCACCCAAAAATAGGAAAGGTCACTAGATGATCTCTAAGGTACCTTTCTGATCTAAAATTGTATGATTCCATGTGATGTCTTATATTTGGAAATTTGTGTTTATAGTCTCACCATATCAACACTACAGACAGTGAGTAGTTAGATCTATGTTGTTGAGCCATTAGTTGTGATATGACCTGAAATAGACTGTACTATTTCCTAGATGAACAACTTAGCTTCTTCTCATAAAGCAATGTTTTCAAACTATATTTAAAAAATATCAAATAAACTAACTTATTCAATTTAGCTCATATCAAGCTTAACCTATAAATAGGATGACCATAAAATTTATCAACCAAACTGGATACTTTTTTTTAAAAAAAGATTTTATTTATTTGTCAGAGACAGAGAGAGCGTGCGCACACAAGCAGGGAGAAGAGCAGGCAGGGGGAGAAGCAGGCTCCCTGCTGAGCAAGGAGCCTGATGTGGGACTCGATCCCAGGACCCTGGGATCATGACCTGAGCCAAAGGCAGACGCTTAACCGACTGAGCCACCTAGGCTTCCCTAAACTGGATACTTTTGAGAGTAATAACGGGCAGTATTAATGATTATGCTGGGACAATGTGGGCTAAACTAGGTTTTATGGTCAGCTTTTTAAAAAAACTGACTCTCCCATATGGCAATATCTGTACATATTCATCAAGTTAGCAAATAGAAATAAACAGAAGTGTGCAAAAATTTATCTGCAATAATGTTCATTAAATCTCTGTTGTCCTTAAACCTTCAATTCTACTTCTTCCTTCCCCTATCTGAAGCAGATACCCTAACACACCAAACATCAAAGAAAGATAGAAGCAATTAAGTGGGAACTTTCCTATATCCTTGGCAACAACCTCTAAAGTAATCTGTATTTGTGTCCACTCTTTGTTCATTTTCTCAGGTTATAACATATCTTTTCACTTAGATTACTGATGATGAGGCTTATCCCTCCCATTTTCATAGGGACATCCCTCCACCTGAAGCCTTCGCTTTCACCTGTATCTTTAATTTCTGTCTCCCTTCTCTGGTACTCTTCTCCTTGACACTCTATCCCATTATATAAAAAAAAGGACAGAGAATACTTCCTTGGAAATAGCCCTGACAGATATAAAAACTTATATTTGGAGTTAGAGTAATTAAAAGTCTGTTAAAGGAGAAGGGATATAATAATCAAAGGAAAGGAAAGGAATAAAGAGTTCAGAAATAGAATACACATAAGGACTTGGTTTATGCTAAAAATACCATTTCTAATCAGGGAAAAGAAATGGTTACTCATTAAATGGTCAAAGACAGGGAGAAATTCATTTGGAAAAAAAGTATACCTTTCTCTTCCTATCAAAATGAATTCCATTTGGTCTATGGTTTTAACAGAAAAAGTCAAAGTATAAAAGATTATGTTGATATGTCCACAGATTATTTGTTTCTCCACTTTTGAGTGTGGACTGCAACTAGTGACTAGCTTCCAACAAGGAGAGTACAAAAGGGAAAAATATTAATTTTACAGTGGAGAAATATAGCAGACCCTTTAACCAAATGATCAAGTTTAACATTACTGCCAATAAGACATGTTGGTATCACACGCTCCCTGATAGGATAAGAAGGGCTTTTTACCTCTGTGGCATACTTCCCCAAAATCTGTATCCTCAGTTTAAACATGAGAAATCATCAGACAAATTCAGATTGAGTGACATTCTACAAAATGCCTGGCTAGTATATAATATTGAAAGTAGCAAGGTCATGAGAGACAAGAAAAGATACATTACACATTTGTCAAATGTATATAAAATGTACAACATAGAGAGTGAATTCTAATATAAACCATGGACTTGAATAATGATGTATCAAAATTGGCTCACCAATTGTAACAAATGTACCACACCAATGCCAGATGTTAATAGGGAATGGGGGAAAGTTACATGGAAACTGGGTGTATTTTCTGCTCAACTTTTCTTTAAACCTAAAACTGCCAAAAAATTAAGTTTATTAATTAAAAACAAAACAAACAAATACAAAAGGGCAACATGGAAAAAGACAGTGGTTAAGTGCATAGGTTTTGGAGTCTGTCTACATTGTGTTTGAATTCATTAACAGTAATGAAACCTTCAGCAAGTGATTTTAACTCTCACCCCATCAGATCTAAAGTCTATGGTCAATTTTGTCTTGGAAATATTATGGTACAAGATCTACTATAACTCTTACACAAAACAAGTGGCTAATACATATTTGATAACTAGATAGGTATCTTCCTAGTTACATTTTTCACTGTAATTTAGGAACCTGCAAATCTCTGGTGTAATTTCCAAAAACTAACCTGGGTTATAGAGCAATAAATATAATGAGGCCTTTCCTCATTTTTAACTTGTCTCTTATAATGAAGCATGTATCTGCAAATGAGCAAGTTTCTAAACATGGACTATAACAAATAATTAGTAAAGATCAACAAAAACTTTTGCATGGATTTGAAATGTAAAATGTAATAAAATTTACATTTTAATGGATATACTGAACAGTTAAGAATTTTCAATTATAATATCACACCTTATCCTTCAGGACCTTATGAAAATTGTGGGGCAGCTACAATGCCCATTTACAGTAGATACATATGAATTCAGACGATCCCACCCAAGCTCTCAATCCTTCCAACATCAGTCAAGCTCTGAGACTACAATTGGATTTGAAATGATTTGTGAAGTAATGGAAACTGAGCTGTGATGAAAACAAGATTTTTCTTTCTTTTTTCTGATTAAATGGAGAGATAACAGCCTGGCACATAGGCTAGTTATTATTTAGCACCCAAATGCAGAATTAACGTATTTTTATGTTTTACTCTTTCCAATAAAATAATTTTTTAAAGCAAAAATCTGGCATCAGACGTCAATAAAGATTATGATGAATACAGGAAGGGAAGAGATTTAGAGTGGCTGAACTCTAAACGCTTTTAAACACTAAAAAAATCTTATAGTGGCAAGGAAACTAATTTTCTCTACTTGCAAAGGCATACTAAAAATTATAGTATTGGGAATAATTTTTTAATTATTAGGTAACCTTTCACATATCCTAAGTCTTGAAAAAATGTACATAAGGCACATAAATAAAGATATTATAGGAGAATTCAGTTCTAGAGTTCAAATAAAGCATTATCATCATTCAAAAGAATATTTATTAAATAATTATTTGTATTATTTATTATTAAAAGATATTAAAATCTTTGTCTTATGATGAACTGTAGTTTAGTGTGTAGAAGTTATCATTTGCTGCTGAAAAGTGATGATTTGGTATCAGATAAAAGTAATTCTATTGCTTATATAGCTAGTTATTTTCTTGAGAATATTTGGAACTGGGTAGTTTGATTTCCCCCACGGGATAAAAATTAAAAAGTCACAACCTTTACTCCCTTTCTGAAAACAAATCTGACATTCCACTTTGGATATTTGAACAGTTAGGTACCTTGGCTGAATTTTGGTAGAGAAGTAAGGTCAAAAAGTCCATTGAACTCATAACATCACCATATCAAAGTCACACTGCCAACACATTTGTGTCCATCTCTTTGTTGCCAGTAGTGTTAACACTCAGGTATGAAAATGGCAATGATTTAAGTATCCATGGAAAATGGAAATGCAAATAACACTTGGTCCAAGAATGATTTCAGCTAAATTAGGCAATAGGGCAGATAGCATCTGACTACTTTGATATTTCACAAAACATAAAGTGTATCTATCTACACATTAGGTGTAGTAATACATGCACAAGTATCAGGAACTTTAAATAAAAATCTAATTTAACATATGGTGGCCAAATCTGACAAATTTCTACTTTCATGAAATATACATAATAAGAACATCCTTGAATTTGCAATATGTATACTTGTTTATTCTATAACCAAATATTAATTTAAAAAACTAAACCAAAAAAACTAAGCCAAATGTGACAAAATGCAAGATCCTGTACTGAACCTTTTTGAATTTTTAAACTTTTATGTAAAACAAAACAAAGACCATCCAACTGCATTATTATTTTTACTTAAGAGAAAGGGAAGGTAATGAGGTATTTTCACAAGTCACTGTGATGGTTCTAGGTGCACCCATAACACGATAAGCCTCTAAAGTTAATTTTAGACAATGCAGAAAAACTCCTGGCTCCAAATATAATCTGGTGACTTGGGTAGCGCATATGGATGTTAATCATGCTGTGACAGATCAGACTTTCAATTCTTAAGAATGGACTAGGATGGATGGCTGCAAAGACGAAAGTCAGGGCACAACCAAGAAGAAAAACCGTGCAAATATTATTTTATCCATTTCCAACAATGCAACAGAAAACACCTGAGCTTTGGGATAAGAGTTAGGACCAGGATTTGGAAGATTCAGTTCGGGAGTCCACCGGAGGGCCGTGTTGATAAGTTTCCTCCGCTCGTGACCTTTAGCCTAGTTCAATTCTTCCAATTGGGGCAACTCTATGGGGAGGAATCTAGGATCCACTGCCAGGTGCAGACAGCGTGACCTTTACCCGAGTTTAACCTGAGGACGTCAGGAGAGCAGGTGCAGAAAGGTAGGTGTCTAGATTCCCCCCAGGTGTAGCCCTGTCCGTTTCGCCCTAACTCCTCGACCTTCCTCCACTTATCCCCGCCCGGAGTTCCCTCTCACCCGGGCAGGAGAGCTTGGCTAGCGGCACCAACATATTCACTGGTCCCAGGACTCTCGGTGGGACACAACGGAAGGGCTGTCTGTGGCTCACCGCGGGTGCTGGACCTCTAGGCCGCGGGGGGCGCCATCACCTGCCGAAAAAGACAAACACCTCCACTGAAGTTTGCCTCCCAGCTATGCCCAAGGCTTTGGCTTCACGGTGCTCTCGCCTCTTTCTCGCTCTGCGCCGGCGCCGCACATGACGCTACGGCCAGCAGAGACATCCGGGTCACGTTCCGAAGGAGGAAAAGGAAAGGGACTCCAAGTCCCAGCACGATCCCGGCTTCAAACTGTGGATTGGTTCTCCGTTTGCGTCTCACCACGGCATGGTGAGGACGCGGGAGTGCAGGTGAGAGAGACCCACAGATCCCGTGGTATACGCGCGCATCAAAAGTAGTGGGAGGTGGAGCGACGCATACAGCATTCTGGGAGTTGTAGTCCTCTACTCAAGTGCCTTCCGAGCCTGACTGGAGTTTTGCGCAGGAGCAATGAACCGCCCAAGGTGATTGGCTGTCCCGAAAACATGACTAGTATTCGCGGACTTGGGCGGAGACCCACAAGGAGACTGGGCGGGACTTCAGGCAGGAGGAGGCGGGGCTTCTGGGTGTTGGGCGCGAGCAGTTTGAAAGACAGTTGGTGTTGGTTCGGCTGCTAAGGTCCGATTCCGCAGTGCCAGCCCTGCTCAATGGCAGACCCTGAGGAGGTGCGGATTTCTTCGCCGCCCCCGCCGCCTCCTTCCTCTCCCTCGTCTTCAGACGCCTCGTCAGCATCTTCCCCCGGCGTTCCAGTGAGTTTGGGCTGGCCAGTTGCGAGCAGGAGCAGCGGCCGAACGGTGGACCCTCTGGAGGAAGTAGAGCTGCAGATTGGAGACGTGAGTGTCGCTCGACAGGTCCCGGGCTGCGTCCCCACTTGGCCCTTGTGGAAGACAGACCGTTGCTGTGCAAGGGAGGGAAGGACCAGGAATCCGCATCTCGCCCTTCTGCCCCCTGAGGGTGTGGGCTGGGGGGGTGGGTAGGTAAACCGGAGACCCGATGCCCCTTGTCCACCATCCCTGAGGACTCCGCCTTTAGAATTAGTGTTGAGGAGTAAGGGGTTATCCCTCCACCCGCCCCACCCTTCACTGTTTTCTTTTTGTCTCGCCTTCTGGTTTCAATCATGCTCTGTAACCTGAAACCACGCAGCTTTGCTGCGCCGGCGCGTGTTGGCGGTGTCTGCCCTCTATTCCTCCTCCTTGTCTGTTGGTGCTTAGGAACAGGCTGTGATTTCTTTTCGTGGGTCTTAAGATCCCGCTGCTCTAGTTGGCCACCTGCCAGAGCCTGCTGGCAATGCTACGATTGCCTGTCTCAGGCTTGCTTCGCGCTGGACCCATTTGGAGGGTTTGCTTAAGGCGCTTGTAGTCCAGATTGGTTTCATTAACCGCTAGGTCAAAGGCCCCTCCCTATGACTGCTGGAGTGCATAGTATGGTTTCTGTTGAATCTCGAACTCCACTGCCACACACACACACACACACACACAGTCACACCCACCCACCCACCCAGAGGAGTTTCAGTATATAAGGACTCTTGGGTGAGTCAAGTGAATGAGGTATGTAGGATGTAATCCCCCTGGGAGAAGTTTGTGGAATAGACTCTCCTGTGCAGATTGGAAACTGGGTAATGAACTCGGTTATCTCTCATTGCTTAATAAGTACTTTTTTAAAAAGATGACTAAAGTGCTGATACAGCTTCTGCTTTTGTTGAACAAGACTGGCATCAAGAGAATATGTAGAATGGGCTGCTGATAGGTTATCTAGAAACAGTGTTATTTTATATTCTAGGTGAAGGAAACATTTGAGTAAGAAGTGAATTCCACCAAGAGTTGGGTATTTTCTGTATGCTGCTTTTGTTTGTTTTGATTTTGTTGATGTTATTTGTCCCTTCAGAGTATCTGTTCTTTGGTCTATACATTTTCATGGTCTATATAGTGTTCACAGGTAAAATTAGTGGGACAATGTCCTTGTTACCTAAATATCAGTGAGTTGTTTGTGATGAAATCCTTCAGATATTGATATCTGGTACTTAGCGTCAAGGGATCCAAGTCCTCTTTTTGAGCTATATGAGTCTAGTGTATTTTCTTTCTTTCTTTTAAAGATTTTGGTTTTGTTTTTTTTTAAAGCAATCTCTACACCCAGCGTGGGGCTTGAACTCACAATGCTGAGATCAAAAGTCACTTGCTCTCTATGACTGAGCCAGCCAGGTGCCCCTGGTGTAGTTTAAGTTAAAAAAAAAAAGTACTGACTTGTTATGTCTGGTGCATAATGGATATCTTCCCAGCAGACATATTTCCTCAACGCTTACTTCATAATAAAGAATTTCTTAGGTTCTCTGAAAAAGCTAGTGTTTCAGTTTGAAGATTTTTTTACTTTTATGGAAAATAAGTTGGGCATGGGAGTCAAGGTTTTAAGCTATTTTTAGACTATTTATAAAATGAGATGAAAATCTGAAAGATAAACTTATATTGTTTGACTCTTTTATTTTTTTTAATTTCAGGCAGCATTTTCACTAACCAAACTTCTTGAAGCCATATCTGCAGTATCAGCTCAAGTAGAAGAGCTTGCCTTCAAATGTACAGAAAATGCACGTTTCCTTAAAACATGGCGGGACCTCTTGAAAGAAGGCTATGATTCTTTGAAGCCTGACAACTGATTTGGCTGTGTAATAATTCATACGTCCTCATTTATGATGTTTGAACGTGGTATCAGGTTGTCTCCAGCAGTTCTGTGTATTCAGAATGAAATTTTCTGAGTGGTTTTTTCACTTTTGTGAAAGCAGAATACCGATGCTATTTTTGATTCTGGCCAATATTTATCTTTAAATACTTTCTGTCCTCTAAACTTCCATAGACTCTTTTATGAAAGTTAATTTCATCAGTAGATAATGTTAATAATGCTACAGTGTGATCAAACTGAAAGGCTACGCTTCCTGGGCCATTGGACTGTCTGTGGCAGATTTGGCAGAAAGTATAATGAAGAATCTTAGGCGGGTGCATCCAATTTCCACCATGATTAAGGGTCTCTATGGAATTAAAGATGTCTTCCTTAGTGTCCCTTGCATCTTGGGACAGAATGGAATTTCAGATGTTGTGAAGGTGACTCTGACTCCTGAGGAGGAGGCCCGTTTGAAGAAGAGTGCAGATACACTTTGGGGGATCCAAAAGGAGCTGCAGTTTTAAAGTTTTCTAATGTACCACTTCACTGTCTAGACTACAACAGGATTTTAGTTGGAGGTTGTGTATATTGTCCTTATTATCTGATCTGTTACTCAAGTAATATTAAAATGGCCTAAGAAGAAACATCCGTTTCCTAAAGTTCCAAATAGGAATGGTTCACCAAACCCTGCAGCTGTAAACTGATGCTGGATGCTACCTGTCTTTGTAGCCCTAAATTGGTTAACGTTAGTTAGCCCCACCGTCTCAGAGTCACCATTGCCAGGACTGCAGAGCTGCGGTCGTGTGTTTACTGTGCGTTCTGTCACTTCGGGTTCCTTCCCCCAACACCCGACATGCCTAGTCCATCTTTTCCAGTCAGTCACATCCTGGGATCCAATGTATAAATTCCGTATTGCATGGACGGTGCATAACTGTTCTGAAGGATCTTATTTTGTGTACCATATATATATGTCAAAATATAGTGTACATGGCCATATAATGTAAAAAGACAATGCAAGCAACTATCCTAAGAGTCATACCAACTAAAATACCAAATAAATTCTGAACAGTGACTCTTTTTTGGAAAAAAAAAAAAAAAAGCTACAGTGTTAACCAATAGGAAAAAATGGGTAGACCATTATTCTATTTGATTTCCAAGAAGATGCCAAGAGTTTGAAGTTGAGCTTCATTTTCTGGACCAAGGGAAGTAACTTTAAGGTTACCAGTGTTGGCCCAGCTCCACTAGGCCAACTTCCCTGGGACTAGACATTGTGTCTTCTTTATCTTCAGCACCTAGAACAATGACAGTGTCACACAACAACCAGTAAATGTTTGTTGAATAAAAGAGTTGACAATACAATTAAAAGCTGTCTTTTCTTCCTGTTTTTTAGCGTGAAAATTGTAACTTTTTCTAAAAAGTATTTTAATCAGAACCTCACTGACTTGAAGGAAAACATTCTTTTCTTTACGGGAATTTGAAATTTAACTGATGACAACTTTTTAAAATATATGATAAATACTTTTTATTCTTTTTAAAAAGCTTTTACTTCAGAAAATAAAAGCCGTCTGGAAAGAATGTATATATATATATATATATATATCTGTTTCTCAGGTTAATTGCTTTGTGATGTTGTATGTTCAATTGTTCTCTTTAAAGTGCCTTATCAAAATTATGGCTCTGTACTATTACTCTTTGAACTTTGCACATAATAATTCTAAATTCTAAACATAATTCTAAAGATACTTTGTTTTTAATGCATCAAATTTAAATGATGTGATTGGTTTCATATTTGACTTTAATGACAATGTTCTACTTTACTTGTCCCATATCTTATTATTGTTCTCTTTTTGTTGGTTTATGTCATATGTGTCAGTGATTAAGCCAACTAATTCTCCATAACTTATAGACGTCTTTGATATGGATCTTAATTCTTTTGTCGATATGGAGATGTGTACAGAACTATATTCTAAAGCTCTACAGTGGGGTTATGAAAGGGGACAAATAGATGGACAAAGAATTGTTTAGTATATTAAGTCATAGTTCTTGATTAATTTTTTTTAAGTTAAAAAATAACACATATGGTGTGTTTATACCAAAGAGATACTTATTTTGATATTAGAAAAATATTTTTATGTGTCATCAGAAGTGCAATTTTTAAAATGTACAGAAATAAAAGTGTTCAAAGCAAATTTTATTTCCATTTTGGGTTCATTATTTTAAAACTTTTATATAAATATTTCAAGCATAAGAGTAAAATATTAGAGATATATTCCCACCATGCAGATTTAATAAATGTTAGTATTTGGCTATACTTTCTTCAGATCTACATATGTTTGTAAATGTTAGATACATTTGAAACTTTTGTTACCTCTTTGATCCCATCCCTTCTTCTCTCCTAGAGGTAACCATTGTCCTAGAAGTGGTGTATATTCTAGTTTGTGTTCTTATATTTTTAATGCATACGTATGTTTTCAAAGCACTACAAAATACTGTTTTGTGTATGTGGTAGCTAGCCTCCAGATGGCCACAATAGTCAGCCTCCTGGTATTCATGCCCTTGTATAGTCTCACACATTGAATAGTGCTGACTTGTATATCTACTAGGAGATTGAGGAAACACAGTGTGTGATTTCTGAGGCCATACCTTTGTCCATTTTTCTATTATGTTTTGTCTTTCCCTTATCAGTTTGTAGGTATTACATATTTTGAATACTAAGTAATGATCTGTTATCTATGTTTCAACTATCTTTTGTAGTTTGTGATTTATCTTTATATTTGATTGTGGAGTTTTATGAAATAAATGGTTTTAATTTTAATGAAATCTTACCAATTTTTCATAATAGTGCTTTCTGGGTCTTGATTGGAAATGTCATAAAGATACTCTCCTTTACATCTTTCCAAAAGTTAAATTTTTGTTTTTAATGTTTAGGTGTTTAATCCATCTGAATTTTGCTTATGGTGTGATTTTGGGATCTTGTTTATTTTTGTATGTGTATTGGTGTTCCTCCAAGTATCAGTATTTTCAAATGCTACCTCTGTCATTCAATTACCATATAAGTGCTTGGTTCTGAGCTCATTATTCTATTCTGATCTATTTGCTTAACCCTATGCTAAGATTCCCTATAACTTTTGTTATAGCTTTATCCTAAGTATGATATGTACTACTTTGATTTTTGTGTGTGTGACTTCCTTCCCCAACCATGTATATATTTTTTTATGTTAGAAAAGAAAAACCATGTTAGTTGATTTCTAATTTTGTTGAATTGTGGTCAGCTGAGGTTAACCCCTGGTTTTAGGCAGTGAGCTTTCTGTGGACACTTAACTTTATTCCTCAGCACTAAAACTCATAGCTGCTAGTGTCAGGAGTCAGGTAGGCCCAGAGCTCAGCTCTGTTTAATTTCTGTTGCCATGTGTGGCCCACAGAGAAGTTCATCTTATTTTTAAGAGTTGCTTTTTAAAAAAGCATTCCTTTTTATATTTCTTTTTGCTCTGCTTCATGGGAGGGATTGGGAAGGCTTCAAAACATAAACATTTTCTTAGAGACTTAAATTTTTTTCTTAGTAGCTCATTACCAGCTCTATATGAACCTCAGAGGAAAACTTAGTATTTTGACTAATGTAAGTAAAGTCTTACAAGGCCAAAGTGAATATGATGAAATTTTTTTTTTAAGATTTTATTTATATATTTATTTGACAGAGCAAGAGAGAGCAAAAGCACAAGCAGGGGGAGCAACAGAGGGAGAGGGAGAAGCAGGCTCCCCGCTGAGCAGGGAGCCCAACAATGGGCTTGATCTAAGGACCCTGGGATCATGACCTGAGCTGAAGGCAGAAGCTTAACCAACTGAGCCACCCAGGTGCCCAATATGATGACATTTTTAATATTAAAAATAATGTGTTTCAAAACTTCTGAGTATGAAATATGTGTTAGGCACTATGCTAGGAGGTTTATAAGCATTATTTCATATTAGCTTTCTGAGGAAAGTGATATTATTCCTATCTACAGAAACAGGATAGGAAAAAGGCTGATATGAAATAATTTGCCTGTGGGTCTCTTACACCAAAATTAATATGCCTGTCTATACCATACCTAGCTACCTAGCTCTTGGTTAGACCTATTAGTATTCAAGCTTACTTTGTGGACTCTCCCCAATCATGATGGTTTATTTTATGTGTCGACTGGGTCACAGGATATCCAGATTTTTGGTCAAACATTATGGGTGTTCCTTTGAGGGTATTCTTGGATGAGATTAACATATTGGTAGGTTGAGTATAGCAGATCGCCCCTGGTAATGTGGGTGAGCTTCATTCAATCAGTTGAAGGCCTGAATAGAACAAAAGCCTGCTCCTCCCCTGAGTAATAGCATTCTACCTGATGGCCTTGGAAAAGTGGCTGGTCTTGCCAGATGACCTTTGAACTAGGACATTGGTTTTTCTTAGTTCTACAGCAGCTTCTGGCCTTTGGATTCGAATGGAGACATGAGCTCTACAGATTTTGGACTTGCCAGCTTCCATAATCATGTGGGACAATTTCTTATAAATCTCTCTATAAATATATAGATTCGGTGCCTGGGTGGCTCAGTTGTTAAGTGTCTGCCTTCGGTTCAGGTCATGATCCCAGGGTCCTGGGATCAAACCCCGCATCGGGCTCCCTGCTCTGAGGGAGGCCTGCTTCTCCCTCTCCCACTCCCCCTGCTTGTGTTCCCTCTCTTGCTGTGTCTCTCTCTGTCAAATAAATAAATAAAATCTCTAAAATATATATATATATAGATATAGATAGATAGATAGATAGATAGATTCTGTTTCTCTGGAGAATTCTAACACACCATTTAAAAATGGAACTTACATGTTTGTCCGTTCAGTCACCCATCATAGAATACTTGTGCTAATAACTGTATTATATTCAATTTTTTTTTCCCTTAGATTAATTTGAGAGCTCTAAATACTTGAGCAAATTACAACTGGAGGTATAGAAACTTGTTAGAAGGTTATTGCAAATATAGTGATGAGACATGATGTTGGCCCAAACTAAGGTATTCAGAATTGGAATAAAGAGAAGTACATAGATTTAAGAGCTGTTTATTAGATAGAATAAAGGTGAGGCTAGGTGAGTTTGATACGGTGGATAAAGGAGAAGGAAGAGCCAAAGGATGACTCAAAGATTTCTAGGTTGGGCTGTTGGTACCATTCACCCAGATAGGGTCTTGAAGAGACTCAAGTGTCAGGGTCAGAGTCCATAATAATGACATTAAAAAGCCAGTGAGATACCCAAGTGTAAATGTCTAGGGGTAGTTGTATGCATAAGTGGCTAATTTAGGAAAGAGAATAAGCTAAAGGCAAAAATATGGGAATCATCAGTATACACATAGTAATTGAAACCACAGGTTTCAATAGTAGGTAAGACTGCTAGTCTATAGATAAAAAGATTTAAAACAGGGTAAATGAGCCTTCTAGTGAAAGATTTTCTCTTTAAAAGAGGGGTACATTAGTAAAAATTAAATACATTTTTGAAGTATCAATTCACTTATTACTTAGTTTATTAAGCAGTGAAATGCATGGACCTCACCATTCTAGCTGCATATATCCCTTTCCCATTTGTTGTTTTCCTTTAACTTTATCAGTGTCTAAATTGCTAAAAGTCAGTAAATAAGTAATTGCTTTGTGAGAGATTATGTACTAGCCTGATGTATTAGGAGCCCTTAAACTAAAAAGAGAAAGAAAAGAAAGAAGGAAAGAAAAAGGAAAGAAAGAAAGAAAGAAAGAAAGAAAGAAAGAAAGAAAGAAAGAAAGAAAGAAAGAAAGAAAGAAAAAGAGAAAAAGTTGAGGTCTTTCTGATATTTATTTTCAAATTTTAAAACACTTTGGTTTAACTTAGAGGATCACTCTGACCTAGAGCATGGTCCATGAGTTTTGGAACACAGTTTTTTTTGTAAGAAAACTATGACTTGTATCTGCATTAATTTAGTGCTTCTATTGCACCTTCCACTGATAGTAGGAACTAGTTACATGGTATGCTAGTAATTACTTATCAAATTAAATTAAATGGAAGTTATTCTGTTTGGGGAGGTGGAAGGATGGAAGAAATGAGTAGACTGAATAGACAAACCAAATTGCTTCTAGAAAATTATTTGAAAATATTTTAAATGCTAAAAAATAGTTTCAGATGTATATTTTGTAAAGTCACTGCATTCTAAGACTCTTAAACATAGGTTACAATCATAATTTTTATAGGATTACATATTGTCTAGCCTTCATGATTATTGCTTTTTTTTTTTTAAATTTTTTTTTTTTTTTTTTTTTTTAGAGAGCATGTGGGGGTAGAGAGAGGGGAAGAGTGAGAGAGAGAATCTTAAGCTGATTCCATTCTCAGCAGGGAGCCCCATGTGGGCTCCATCTGGGGCTGGATCTCAGGACCCTGACATCATGACCCTGAGATCATGACCTGAGCTGAAATCAAGAGTCGGACACTTAACTGACTGAGCCACTCAGGTGTCCGTGCTTTTTTCTTTTTCAGAAATTCTTTTCAGTCTGTTGAGCATCTGACTCTTGGTTTCTGCTCAGGTCGCAATCTCAGGGTTGAGCCCCAGGTAGGGCTTCACACTCAGCCTGGAGTCTACTTGTCCCTATCCCTCTCCCTGCTGTGCCATACCTCTCACCCCCATTTGCTAGCAAGCATGCATGCTCGCACTCTCTCTCAAATAAATACAATCTTTAAAAAAAAATATTTTTCTATTCTATTACTTACTAGTAATAAGATTCCTAAGAATAATAAGTAATCCCAAAATAATCTTATAAGAGAATTTAAATATGTTTTCATTTTTGTAGGCTTTAAAAAATTATATAGTCTGAGTAGTTAGAGAATTGACTATATTTTTTAAAGATTTATTTATTTATTTTAGAGAGCGCGAGATAGAGACCATGTGGGGGAGTGAAGAGGAAAGGGAAAGAAAGTCCCAAGCAACTCCAAGCTGAGCACAGAGCCTGAGGTGGGGCTCAATCTCATAACCCTGAGATCACAACCTGAGCTGAAATCAAGATTCAGATGCCCAACTGACTGAACCACCCAGGTGCCTTGAGAATTGAATATTATAAGAAGAACTATAGCTTTCTATTCTGATTTTTTGTTGAAAGCATAATCATATTCCTCAGGTAGAAAATTTATTGGTATTATTCCAAGTAAGAACGGAAAGCACTCAAAGCAATCCATATTTTTACTAGAATTAAATTGTAGGCAATTTACTTTCAAAAGAAATCTATACAATTATATATTCAATAAATATATTTTTGATTCCAGTATTTTCATGTTTCAAACATTTTTGGTGTATTTAAAAGTACCTGAAAACATTTTATTCCTATTTAAAGATTTCAAATTATGAAAGCAAAAAATTCCAATAGCTCAGAGACCAGAAGAATAACTAGCTAAAAAGTTAATCTCTTATGAACTGGCTGGCCATGCAAAAGGCAGGTAAATCCATCTCTTGATGACAACTACTTCCTCTTTGAAGTAAAACATGTACATGCAGACCTTTCCTTCCTTAACTTCTTGAGTCAGTTCATTCTAGCTCTTTTCTTTCTTTTCCCTCTTACCAGCTTTACTGAGATCTAATTCAAATTCATCCACCTAACATGTACAATTCAATGGCTTTTAGCATATTCACACAGTTGTTTATCCATCACCACAATCAATTTGAGAATCTATTTTTTGCCCTAGAAAATACTCTGTACTTTTTAGGCAGCATCCTCCCAACCCAGTCACCCCCAGTAATCTCTAATTTACTGTCTGTCTCTATGAATTTGCTTCTTCTAGATATTTCATGTAAGCGGAATCATACAGTATTTGTCCTTTTGTGTCTGGCTTATTTCATACTCATCGTGTTGTAGATGATGTGTCAAAACTTCATTCTTTCTTATAAATGGTTGAATAATATTCCATTGTATGTGTATACCACACTTTGTTTATCCATTTATTAGTTGATGGGCACTTGTGTTGTTTCCATCTTTTGGTTACGTAAATAACTAACACAATGAGCATTTGCATACAAGTACCTGTTTGAGTCCTGTTTTGTATTCTTTTGGGTTTATACCCAGGGGTGAAATTGCTGGATCACATGGTAATTCAATGATAAGCTTCTGAGGAACCACCAAACTGTTCTCTATTGCAGCTGCATCATTTACATTCCAACGAGCAATGCAGAAGGGTTTCAATCTCCACATCCTTGTCAATACTTATTTTCTTCTTTTTTCTTTTGTTGTTTTAATTACAGCCTTTCTAGTACGTGTAATCTATCTCATTGTGGTTTTAGTTTTCATTTTTCTAATGATTACTGATGTTGACCAACTTTTCAAGTGCTTATTGGCCATTTGTGTATCTTTTTTGTGGAAATGTCTTTTTAAGTCCTTTGCCCACTTTTAAATTGGGTTGTTTATCTTGAGTTGTAGGAGTTCTTTATATATTCTGGGTATTAACTCCTTCTCAGATATAGGATTTGCAAATATTTCCTTCCATTCTGCAGATTGTCTTTTTACTTTTTTTTTTTTTAAGATTTTATTTTTAACTAATCTCTATACCCATTGTGGGGCTCGGACTTACAACCCCAAGATCAAGAGTTACACGTTCCACCTACTGAGCCAGCCAGGTGCCCCGTCTTTTTACTTTTTTGATAACATTCTCTGGTGCACAAACTTTTTAATTTAGGTAAAGTCCAATTTATCAATTTTTTCCCTTTTTTTTACTTACGATTTTGTTGTCACATCTAAGGATCCGTTGCTAAATCCAAGGTCTTGAAGATTTACCCAAATGTTTTCTTCTAAGAGTTTTATGTCTTATATTTAGGTTGTTTAATTTTGAGTTAATTTTTTGTATATAGTATAAGGTAGGGGTCCAACCTCAATCCTTTGCATGTGAATATCCAGTTGGCCCAGCATCATTTATTGAAAAGACAGTTCTTTCTTCCTTTGATTGTCTTGGTATCTTTGTTTAAAATCAATTGACTGTAAATGTGAGGATGCATAGAGAAGTGCTATTTTGAGTTTATATCAGAACATCTTTTTTCAGAGTAATATTGTGTATTACCTCTCAAGCATACAGGGACTTCAAGAGAGGTAAGATGAATTCTTAAAATATCTATTTTGCCAACAATCAGATATTTTCTCATTCCTCATTTTTCATTATTTTGAGTATTCCAAAACCTTAAACCTTTATTTACAGGTGTCCATGATTATTGTGTTTGCTGATATGCATGACAGACAAAGCTCTGCCTTAAACTAAGAACTGCAAATGGCCTTCGTATATTCTGTTGTAGCTACACATAATTTGACATTGCAAATTGAAAAGGTTCTATGCTGTGCACTTCCAGAAATTTACTGCAGTGCTACGTGCATAATGGGTACTCAATAAATGCATGGTAAAAGAATGAATAAATCTTTCTGAAATAGATTTCTCTTAATTTCTTATGCAAAATATGTACTAATATATACACATTGTCGATATAATTTATTTCCCTTTATACGGGCCCCCGTCACTTTGATTTTTCAAAAATAACCTCATGTCCTTGTAATAGCTTTATCTTAACCATTATAAATTATTAATTTTGCGGCATTCATTTTATACTAATAAATCCATCGTGAAGCATCCCACAACATTCTCTGCATAGCAATGGGTTTCAGAGTCAGTTATGAATAGGAATTGAGTCTAGTTGATTGAGAAATTAGTGACAATTCACAGGGGTCTGTGAAAAGAGCTGGCTTTATTAACTCAGATGGTATCTCTTGCAGTGGCCACATTTCTACCCAGATGAATGACGGAGCATATGTTTTCTGACTTCCTTTGCTGTCAATAGATCTTCTTTGTCTGTAGTTATACCAAAACTGATGGATCATTTCTTTGAATGGTCTTGTGGTCAGAGTATACAGAATTGGGTTCAAAGCACTGTTGATAGGCAGAATAAAGATCACTACCCAAGAGGTTATGGTACCTAGAAGAGAAAAATGCAGTAGTTTTAGTGTTCAGGGATGTTTACAAGGTATAGAAACCCCTCTCCCTTGTTTCTCCCCCAGCCCCCTTTTGAGTCTTAATTTTTTCCCTTTGATGTCACATAATTAAATACCAAGTCTAATGTGTTTCCAGGATGTCTTTCCAGGGTGCCAGTGTTTGAGGGGAGTGCTGGTGCTGCAAAAAGACAGGGTTCTTTGCTAAGTAGCTTTTCTTGAATACATCCATAAAAGTATTCCATTAGGTAGAAACATTTTCCACCAAGTGATTGCATAGTATTGTGATATGATTCCATTTTAGGAAAAACAGTATCGTTTAGCATTCAAATCATACCTTTTCCAGTATTTTAACTGCTGGATAGTACATATAGTGTTTCTCAAAATATATAGATAGATTTCTGCTATTTCTTTGGTTTTAAAAATAAGTATGCATTTTTAGACTTTTGACTAGATATTTCGGTAAAAACATTGTTGGCTAAACTTATCTTAAAAATCACTGTAGTAGAGAAAGACATGTATCATATGATCTCACTGATATGAGGAATTCTTAATCGCAGGAAACAAACCGAGTGTTGTTGGAGTGGGGGGTGGGGTGGGAGGG